TTTTTTTGATTGGAGGTCGCAGCTACGAAAGAAAGTTCATTAAAATTATGCCCTTTTCTAATTTCTGAACTGCCCCTCTCCGGAAAGGCGAAGGGAGGGATATGATAAGTACCATAGACTCCAACTTTGCCTTTCTCGTTCCTTGCTTTTGAAAATAATCATTGGACTGTTAATTTGTTTCAAGCTCAAATTTTTGTTGGCGCTCGTTTTCTGTTTTTCTTTCCAGTTGAAGAAACTTCAGCGCATGCAAATCAAAGAAACTCAAGTTTTAACTACCCCACCAAGAAAAAATAAAATAATTCGTAAATAAATGTTTAAATTTTTCAAATTTAAAATACTGCCTACGTGGGTGGTTTTAGTGGGTGTGGCAAAAGTAAATCGAACCCTTAATTACGATAAAGGGGTTAATCAGGTGGTGACCCCTTATTGGATGTTTGGCCACTGCCCACTGGGCATAGGTTGGTTAGAAAAGGGTTAAATTAAAACAAAAAGCTTTCTACCCCGATGGCCATCGCAACAACGGAGGAATCAACCCCACATAAATGATATGTATTCTATGCCGTCGGACCTTACTCTTTCACACACTTTATCTGATGGTTGCTTAGCTATAAATGAACATCCCCTATTATTTAGATGTCTCGCGGATAAGAGATGTCCTCTAAAGAACAGGATCGAATTGCGGAACCGCTTTTAAAGTGTTATCTCGGGCATATTGCTTTACTTGTATGCCTCTTAAAATAATTTAAACTGCATAAAAGTTAACGCTTCTGATTTTTTGTATAGTAAAGTTGTGGCCCTAACAGAGTCTGCAAATTTCTATTGGACCTACACTAAGCGCTATGATATTCAAAATCATAATTTAATTGTCTAATGCACATAAAATACACTAAGCGCTATGATATTCAAAATCATAATTTAATTGTCTAATGCCCATATAAATGTTTAGCTCTTTGGTTGCTTTGAATAAACGTGCACATACCTATTAAATAAAACCGCTGTATCTGTTATGTATATATACTGGCAAAGCAATTAAAATTTTCCATTTCAGTCAACCGAAAACATAAAGTTGTACTTATTTGAGTTTTATATATTTTTTTTTGTCTTTGATTTGTTTATTTGAAGTTTATCAATACAAGGGGATGGATACGAGGAGGACAAAAAAAAACAAACATTTGCCTTGACTGGGATTTTCCTAAAAATATAAGCAGCCACCCACTTAATTAGGCTTATCATATACAGTCCAAGTCCACAAGTTGTCGAACAGGAAGAAAAATTAAAGCGCCTGTCACTTGCAATTATTCAGCACATAAGTTCATTTCGATTTTGTTGCTCCCTAAGGAGGAAGGAGGAAATTCGTTAAAGGAACTTATGTACATGTGCCATCATGTTGAATATTGAAGTGAAATAGATTTTTTGTAATAGATTTGTTTTAATTGTTTAAAACAATCTTTATACGATCAATATTAGATTTTATAATCCATTACTTACAGGCTTAACATCACTTAACATCTTAACACAAACAAGAAAGTAAATACCAAAAAAAATAACATTTTTCTATACCCAATAATAACGCCTAATAATAAATAAATAATAAAACTTAAATAATAACACTTTAAATAACCCTTATATCACTTATTTTTTATTATTTTTAATTACTTTTCCAATTGTTTATACGATAGCTATATTATATTTACATATATCCGTTACTCGTAGAGTACAAGGAAATAGTAGATTTGTTGATTCGGACAAACTTTTGAAAAATGTGATATTTTCACATTTTTTTTATATATTTTGTAAATTTCTATAAGTTTGCAAACAAAAAGTATTGCCCACAAACCGGCCAAAACTGTCATGTCCACACTTTTGAAAAATGTGTGTTTCTTTTCATTTCTTTTTCATTCAAAATTAAAAAAATTCTTGTTCATTTTGAATTGTTGAGTAACGGGTATCTGATAGTCGGGAAACTCGACAATAGCATTCTATCTTGTTTTGAATAAATTTAAACCGAATTATATAATCAAAAGCACCAGTACACTTTAGGACGAAAATCACCAAAAAATAATGTTATCCGATTATTCCATGGCAGCTTTTTTTTTTATGTTATTGAATGTACAAAAGTTTTATAAATTATATAAACTGAGAATAATTAATATTTAAAAGATATTGACAATTTAAATGCATCTACATAAGTGTTTGGGAAAGTTAACAAAATCCCGAAAGTTTGATTTTAATAGCATTTTATTTAATAAATCAAATATATTTTCCTTTAAACCCTCGGTAAATCGGTTTTCCATTCATCGAAAACTTTAAGTGTCACAAAAAAAGAAACCTATTCGATATCCACAAATCATACACAACCATTTAACTTTTTCCTTTTCAATCATATTAATATTATTACGGTTTATTCACACGCAAATCGTAAACATAAGCGTTACCCTGAAATTGATTGTAAAGCGGAAAAACCCTGTTAGTTGTATTCCAGGTGTTTGTTAGTTTCTGGTCATATGTTAAGTTGCTCAAGGGTCGAGGTATTGAGAAATATAAATCAAAGTATTCACCAACTTCTGTCCTTCTGCATCAATTTAATCAATTTTCCATTGTCATACATATCCTACCTCTCACATTAGCATATATTTAAGCGTCCAAGTAAAAGTTTTTTTTGACAGTATGAGTACCTGCCTGGAACGATTTTTCTGTCCCAATAAACCCGTCTGCAGCTCGGGCAGAAGAGCCACTTTCTATTATCCTGGAGGTGGGTCCTACTCTGGCTACTGGCTATGCAACAAACACCAGGGCTGGGGCGTCAAAAAGACGGCAAAACGAACTAGCCAGTACTTTTTTGGTAAAAAGCATCCTGAAGGCCAGCTCATTTATGAGGGGGACTGGGTGATGAACAAACGACAGGGAGTCGGATCAATGCTACGTAAACGCGGAACTGAATTACAGCTGATATATTCGGGAAGATGGTACGATGACATGAAATGTGGAGAAGGTAAACAATTCTATTCCGACGGATGCGTCTACTTCGGGAAATGGATAAGAAATCGACGGCACGGTTTGGGCATCCAGTGGTACAATGATGGGAATATCTATGCGGGCGAATGGGAAACAGATTTCCGGCATGGACTTGGGGTCATGTTTTACGGTTCGTAAAGGATAATAGTTTTAATGGTACTTCCCAATTAATATTTTAATATAAGCCAGCTAATGGAAACCGATACGAAGGACACTTTGCACGCGGATACAAAAATGGCGAGGGTGTTTTCTATCATATGCATACGGGACAAATTCAGAAAGGGATGTGGGAAAATGATAATTTAAAGACGTCGATGATACAGGATGAACCAATAATCCGTTGCAATGCTGCAATAACATCGTATCCGATTCCACGAAACTATCTTAAGTACCCCAACGAAATAATGCGAGAACTTTTCCAAAGGTACAAAGCTCTTAGCAATAAGCCCCATCGTAGATTCAATGACAGGGTCAGTCTTGCCTTTATTCACCATCACCGACAGTACGCCTCTTGCGAAGAACGCTTCGCTTCACCAACAATGGTGGACCTATACCCCAAAGATGGCTTCGGATGCACTTGCGACTGCGAAAATGTTGCCAGAAATGAATGCAATTTTAGTCAGATATAGCTGTCTGACCCTATAATTTTCAAAATTGATTTTACAAATTTGGTAACCTAAATATTAAAGACAAAATTGTGTGTGATAACAATGTTTAACAGTTCAATAATGTTTAACAAGCCAGTAAGATCTTTCTATAAATTGTCAGTCAGATATAGCATTCTGACCGTATACTTTTCAAAGTTGATTTTAAAAAATTTCCAAACTAAATATTAAATTAAAAAAAATGTATTTGATTATAATGGTTAATATTGGTCTATTTGCAGTTAAATTATGTATAACAAACCAGTAAGCTCTTTATATAAATTGCTTATTTATTTTTAAAATGTTATTTACTTGCTTTATATAAAAAAGCGTTTCCCTTCCTTTCACTAAATTGAAACTTAGGCCGCCAAAGCGAGGGCTTTTCTAATGGTAGCAAAAATACCTGTGTATTCCATCACCCCCATTCATTCAAACAAAACAGAGTTGCCACGCCCCAGATGAACCACCCTCCCTCCCACAAACCCCAAAAAAGACACCCACGTTTTCTACTTAATGATAAAAGAAAGGACATTAGCGGGCCTCGGAGCATCTCAGCGTTTTGAGCGGCTTTCAAGTGAAAAGCAAAGAATTAAAAAAAAAAATTAGCAAAAAAAAAAGGTCGAAAAGAAGCGGAAAAAAAGCAACAACAAATGGATACTCGCACAATGAAAGAAAAGAAAAAGATTTCAAACCACCTCCCAGCGCACGCTCTACGTAATGCTCCTTCTGCAAGCTCTCCATTTATCAAGTTCCTTTTATTTTGGTGCGCGAGCGTAGTTAAAAATTAATAAATGAAATTAATGCCGACGACACTTTTCAAGGCATTGGTCAGTACGGAAATGGAAGATGTTGCCAAGGTTTTCCTTTGGCTTCCCTCTGTTTACATCAAAAACATTTTCATTTGAAATATTAAGCACCTAAAAGTCGATAATGCTTTTTCTTGCCAGTGACAGCTGCGTCGCATGAATTTAATTATAGCCAGCTGAATATCACCAGGGCAGCAACACTTTTTGCCAACCCAAGTCCATCTAACGCAATTAAGTGCCCTCCTCCCTGAAACAAAAATAAAGCGAAAGTAAAAAACTTTTGAAGGAAAAAATCTCTGTAAATTCATCTTTGTCGTGGCCGGTGATTAATCAAAAGCAGAAGGCCAACAAATAGTCCTTCGCACCCTGCTCAGGTGTATTGCTGGGATAGAGTGTATGTGTGCCTCCTCTAAGCTGTCCCCATAGTGCAGTTAGATGTGACTTTACATTTTAAAAAGTTCAAGCCTAATATGTAAATCCAAAAACAGACTATGAAGAGGTTTATTTCACGAAGTTAAATAAAACACAAATATGCTTATCTAAAGAAGAAATTATGGAAATGGAATTTTAAAACACAATACATTATAAAATTATTCATCGCCTTGAACATATTTATTTTTTTATATTATGAAGTAAAATAAAATACAAATATGTGCATCTAACGAAGAAATAATTATTTCATTTAAATTAATTATGAAAAGACGTTTTATTTAAAATACTTCCGTCGGGATTTTCAGCTTCAAAGGCCGGCTCAAATATAGCTGGACTAAGACCCGACGATGGCGGGTGTGCAATCGGATTGATGAACGTCTTTCCAGGAGGAAACATCTCATCAAATGTAGCGCTGGCAAGGACTTCATTCGCCACATCTAAAAACTTTTTAGAAAGACCTTGCTCTAGGCCTGGCACAATCTCTTTCATATATAATTCTTGATTGTTATTAATAAGGGTATTTCCTACGTCCCCCAAAATTCGATCGCCGCTGAATAAATTTGCCAAGCTTAATTTAAAATCCTCAAAATCAATGCGCATGGTCATCTTGGTGAACTTCACATAGTCTTTGCCATTTCGCAGATACCGAGACCCACGAATTTTAACGAAAGCCTTTGCGTTTTCTAATATTGAGAGTTAGTTGAGTGTTAGTTATTATGTCCAAATTTCAAACCTACCGCAATATCCCTGCATATTTCCTTTTCCTTTTATGTCTAGGAGTAGCAAATTAAGATGCAGCGAATACTTTCCTCTAAAGTCAATGCGCGGGAGTGTAATCCAGAGATCGTACGATGTGTCTAACGGCTTGGCACTTCATGCAAAAAAATTAACATCTTAGAATTTACATTTTCATAGTGCTTATACTTCAGTACATAAGGCGGTCAATGATAAAGTTACTTCCTCCATTGGCTTCAAGATTCGTGAAAACAGCTTGAAATTGACTACTTAGTCCCAGTTCAATATCATCTAGGGACAGCGGTTCTAATGGGGGTGTTGTGAAGCCATCCCCCAGGTTTCCGTTCACTAGTAATGGCCTTATTTGGTAGACAGCGTTAATGATACACCGCTCCAGAAGAGGATCATTGCGGGCGCATGGTCTAATGGTGGACGCTAACAGAAAAGATATTTGGGGACAATAAAAATTACAATTCGACGGGCAATGCAATTAGAAACGTTGTTATTCCTTGTATTCACGACCATTTCGACATCAACAGAATTGGAAACGCGTCACAAAATAATCCTTTGCTACTGGATACCTACGCAAGTTTGCGAAAATAAAAGGACACTGCAACACTTGGCAGACCAGCAATAATACGAAACGCTCAAAACACCTATAGTAAATCATCTGTAGAGCGTTTTTTCACAATGGCTTCACGATATGCCTGTTTGAGATTCGAATGAACTGTAGTTGTTGCAGCCAAGCGGTCTACTAACGATTCAACAGCCAGTACGTCGTGCTTTTGATTGAATTAAGCGTGCTTAGCTAAAGTCTTTTCCACCCGCGACATTTTCATAGCATTAAACGACCAGCTCACACTTACAAACGCACAAGTCAACGATTACGTACTTGCCCGCTGACGCCACTCAGGGGCACGTGAGTTGTCGCCTTGCATGTAAAGTTAAATTTATGTGGTTTAAAGTGAATTAAAACAATACCGAGTTCATGGCTTTAACATTGAATAACAAATGCAAGTAAATCAGCTACGAAAATTTAAATAATAAATTTATCGCCATCCTCCAAGGGCCAGCCTTGGCGCTACAGTTATAATATATGCGCAAGGATATAACAAGACTAGATTGGGGATAACATCAACACCAATCAGGAAAAACAAAATATTTATTTTTTTGTAATGCAAATTTGAAATTTATTAACGAAGTAAGCAAGCAAAACATATATTAAACCAAATGTTACATAAAAATGGTCACTTTGTTAAATTCACAAGCAGTGCAGCCAACAGTCAGTAAACAGAAAATAAAAGTGATTAAAACCATTTCTTCGTGAAAATAAGACAAAAAACAGACAGATATTAATGTAAAAAAAAAAATTGTCCTTTAATGGATGATACAGAAATTACTATTAAATAAAATTCCATTCTAGTGGATGATAGCGTTGAGAAATTATATATATATCAAGTTATAAAATTATAACAAAAACTATATTTGTTTAAGGTGTCATATTTCCGGACAAGGACTGTTTCTAATATTTCCCGACTATATTAGTTTAAAATTGATCTATCCGTAAAAGGGACAATACGGCAACACTGTTCCAAAGGTTGCTGATCATAGAACCGACAAAATATTTACAGGATAGATGAATATATACCAGTCAATGGTATTTCAAGACCAACCAACTCCCAGGATTTATCTCAATTTTTTTTATTTTTTCCGTTCTGCAGAAGAAAGAAACACATCAAATTTGTAACAAATTACATTTGATGCGTGTAATAAAAAGCCAAAACAGCTGTCGAAATGAAAGTTCTCTCTCCCATCAATAGGCTTTCACACCGCATTTTGGCCTAATTAAGTTTTCAAGTGCAATAAAATGATGGCCGGACTGTGCAACTCAAAATTTCGAAGATACGAGAAAAAAACCAACGGGGAGGAAAGCACTCCATTACGTGCGGACATCAAATTTGTGCTGAAGTACATAAAACACAACTTAAAAACTTAAATGGATTTACCACAACATGACGAGAATCAGAAATGTAGATAATGATGATGAGCATACACGAGCACGTGTACCGAGTTTGCTAAAATACCTATACATATACAAGTTAGTATTTAAACGTAAAACATATATATACATATTTGCAAAAAAATTGTTAACAAATTATCTGATGATAATATATATAGTTATGTAAACAATTAATGTAAGAACATGAGAAAACGCTATTGTCAAGTACATATGTCGGCATTACGCAGTTGAGGGAAATGAGAGAAACATATATATATGTACATATGTATAATAATAATCCTTACAGCAATGCTTCTGTATTCAACATCGCACACGATTACCTCTTAACGGAGCAAAACATTTTTGTATTACTTATCTAACTCCAATTTCAAAACAATAGAGAACGCTGTAGTCAAATTTCTCGACTATCAGATACTCCCTAATGGAAATTTGAACAAGAAATTTTAACATTTTTTCTGAAATATCGATGGCAATTGGAAAAAAATAATACAAAAAATAATAATTTAGGCGGTATGTAGGCAAGAAACAAACTTGCGCTGCGTCTATGTCTGTGAAATCTGCATCGCTATATCTGAGCGAGCTGTTATAGCTCCTGAGATCAAGACGTTCATACGGGCAGACAGACTGACATGACTAGATCGACTCGGCTATTGATTCTGATGAAGAATATATATGTACTTTATATGGGCGGAAACACTTCCTTATACCTGTTATACCTTTCAACGAATGTAGTATACCCTTTTACTCTACAAGTAACTGGTATAAAAATCAGATTTTCGCAACTCTTACACAGACGGACAAAAGGGCTGCCAGATGGAAATGACAGTATCCAATGGGCTTTCTATCCTGTAGATATATATATTTTTTTTCCTGATACATTCTTTCAACTAATAGTACATCCTTTACTATTCGAATAACTTGAATAAATATACCACGTCATAATGTATTAAACAACATCGCTGAGGAGGAACAACGCTCAAAATGTTTGGAAATTTCTTCAGTCGGGTTGAAATATTTGTTATATTACTGATGATTAGTTTTTATATTTTAATAGCATGTTTCTGCAATATACATAATTTTTTTAAAGTTTAGTTGATTTGGTATTCAGCCTTTACGTACGCCACCTTTTGTTTAACAAATTTACCGAAAATAATTTTCTTTAGAACATTTATTGAATTCTACATGGTTTGAGTCTCCGAAACAATTGTAAATGGTCAAAGTCCGGGAAATAATTAAAATTCAGTATCTTAACAAAAATTTTGGTGGTATTTTTGTATTGTTAAAGGTAGAGCCACACAAGTTGCAAAAGACAACAGAAAATAAATAATATAAAATAAAAATAGATAATTTTTATCGTCTAAAATTATAAGACATTATTGGTCTTGCAATTAAAGCCCCGGCGTAATGTGAGTAGAGCAACTGCGATTCCGCAGTTGAAATAAATACTCTGTTTTTAAACTTGTATTCATAAGAATTTCAAAAGAAACAACTCATAAGTCGCCGGTGATAAATATTTTGGGTTTTTCGGATTTTTTCAGGGGTTAACACAGAACAGCCCAACAGGATGCAATCTTTTTTTCAACGCTTCACAGACCGGCAAAAGGGCTGCCAGATGGAAATGACAGTATCCAATGGGCTTTCTATCCTGTAGATATATATATATTTTTTTCCTGATACATTCTTTTCAACGAATCTAGTACATCCTTAACTATTCGAATAACTTGAATAAATATACCACGCCATATTGTATTAAACAACATCGCTGAGGAGAAACAACGCTGAAAATTTTTGAAAATGTCTTCAGTCGGGTTGAAATATTTATGTTATATTACTGATGATAAGTTTTTATATTTTAATAGCATGTTTCTGCAATAGACATAACTTTTTTAAAGTTAAGTTGATTGGGTATTCAGCCTTTACGTACGCCACCTTTTGTTTAACAAATTCACCGAAAATAATTTTCTTTAGAACATTTATTGAATTCTACATGGTTTGAGTCTCCGAAACAATTGTAAATGGTTAAAGTCCGGGAAATAATTAAAATTCAGTATCTTAACAAAAAATTTTGAGGTATTTTTGTATTGCCAAAAGTAGAGCCACACAAGTTGCAAAAGACAATAGAATATAAATAATATAAAATAAAAATAGAATATAATTTTTATCGTCTAAAATTATAAAAGACATTATTGGTCTTGCAATTAAAGCCCCGACGTAATGTGAGTATATCAACTGCGATTCCGCTTTTAAGCGTAATTGAAATAAATATTCTGTGTTTAAACTTGTATTTATAAGAATTTCAGAAGGAACAACTTATAAGACGCCGGTGATAAATATTTTGGGTTTTCCCGATTTTTTCAGGGGTAAACACAGAACAGCCCAACAGGATGCAATCTTCGTAGCATTCATGGAACGGCATCCAATCATCTCGAAAAATTATCTTAAAGGAGACAAGCAAGCGGCGGAGGCAGCGTGGAAGAGATTGTCAAATGAGTTAAATAGTGTTGGACCCCCTGTCAAGGAAGCCAGCGAATGGAAACGGGTAAGTTCTCAATACAAAATTTGGAACTTGCTACCATCTTAGACACGTTCCTGACAGGTTTGGAAAGACTGGAAAAGTTGCATTCGAAAAAAAATTACTAATAATCGGCTAGAGGACTCTAAGGCTACTGGCAAAGGATCGCTATACCAAGATACTCTTACTCCCCTGGAGGATGCAGTTGCTGAAATCTGCGACTTGTACGATATGGCAGACACCATCGCCGAAGCCTGCCCCAAGGCTCAAACTGAAATGACCCACGGAGTTCCCCTGAAATGCATCAAAACCGACCAAGATGATTCCACGTTGACAGATAATCGTAAGGAAGCGTTAAATTAAATCTTTTTTTACCACTATTATTTTTCAGAAGAGTATGAGGATGAAGATTGCTCCATCAATATTAGACGCTTGGGTGTTCAGTTAGATAAAAGCTTTAGCGCTGACTCTTCACAGACTACTTCCAAAAAAAGAAAGCGAAAGGAAAATGCTTTAGAAATTGAACAGGAACATTCTGTTCCCGTTCTCTTGGATATAGCAAGAGAGATTAGTGACTTAAATAGACAATCCCGCTTAAACGCCCAGCGAACAAAAGCTAACACCGAGGCATTATTAGCTGTGGGTACGCAGATAGCGGATTTAATGCAGCAGCAGTTAAAGGAACGTAAGCGCCTTAACGCCATAATGGAGAAATTTGTACTGAAAATGGAATCTACAGATTAGAGTCAATATATAACTTGTGTAATGTCTATTAAAATTAATTTAAAAAATCCGATATTTCAATCCTGTAATAGATATTCATCTCTGAAAATATTAATAATAAATTTAAAAAAAAAACAACTATTAAAGAATATCTATATATGTATTAGATATACATCTTTGAAAATATAAATAATAAATTTAAAAAACTAGTAAAGAATATCTACGAATAGCAAGGGATGTATAGTGGTAAACTAAATTATCAGCATTGAAATCCACCCATGAAGCAATCGCATTTGGCATGCAGAGTAAGAAGTAAGAATAAATTAGAAGAATTTCCCTGTGTAGCACGAAAGTCAACACTCGGCTTCAACAAAATTCATAAAATAATTAAAATACATATATCTAATTTCGGAACAGTGTTATTTAATATCGAAACGGTAAAAAAATGTTTTTTTGGTACAGTGGTAGAAATCGTGAAGACAAAATATAAAAAAAAAAAATCAAAACGAAGGTGTGGGCGTGCCAGTTTTCCGCGGTTTGAGGGAGGTAGAGTGGTCGTGAAACCCATTTTAAACAAACTGGCATTGCATAAGAAAGACGTGACAGTTTTCCCCCTTTTTTGGAAGGTAGAGTGGGCGTGGCAAACATCTTAAGCAAACTTGCACTGCGTAAGACTTACTAAAATATGCATGTCTAATTTCAACACTAGATTTTATAGTTTCCGAGATCACAGAGTTCATTTGGACAAGCCAGATTAACTAAGCTAGTGATCCCGGGTTTAAAATATTTATACTTAATAGGTTCGGATACGTTTTCTTTTACCTATTACATACTCTATAATAAATCTAGCATACCCTTTTACTCTACAATTTACTCCAGTGATTTCAAATTGGAGTTTTTAAAGTATATGACATATGTATGTACAAAATATTCTTGCAGATAGGATACATAGGATAAGTATAAACAAATGCCCAAAGTCAAGAACAGTTAACAGTATCAAACCATTTATAAACAAAAAACGGTCACCAGATGGTAAATAATGTAAACATAAAATCCAATACGATTCAGGGTACAAAGCTAAGAAATTGTATTGTACATTTTAGTCTTAAACTGGAGCTCGAATAAAACAATAGGCCAAGAAATTGTGTCGCATTTTTATTTAAAATAATTCAGGAACTACCTCAGTCTATTGACGGGTAGTTGATTGGACTTACAATCGTGTAATAGTAACTATTTTACTATATATATTAATATTTGGTAAAAACATTTTAATAATCCTACCAAAATTTTTGGTTCTCATTTGCTTTAGTAATGAAAATCCAGTTTCACGAATATATGTACATATGTACATACATACATATGTAAACGCTACCAAACAGCAGAACTTTTGAGCATCTAACAACTACATGCATACATACATACATTGGCATTAGCGAACTAAGGGTAAAGTCAATGAAGTGGTTGCTAGTCTCAACGAAAATGAAGAAAATGAAAACAAATTCAAAATTGTTTTTGTAAATCGCCTTGTCGAACATGCGATTATTTTTTTTATAACAAGAGCAGTTACAAAAACAAAAAAAGCTAGAAGTGCAATGGCGTAGAAATACTGCTAATATCAGAATAGAAATAACAAATTTAAAAAAAAAACCGTTAATTAAATTAAAGAACATTTTAATAATTGTATCAAAATGTTTGGAATTTATTTCTTTTAGTAATGAAAATTAAGTTGCACAAATATAAACGCTACTAAACAGCAGAACTTTTTAGCAACAACAACATATACATACATATGTACATTGGTAGTAAGCGAACTAACGGTAAGGTCAATGAATTTGTTTTTGGTAATCTCACCGAAAAAATAGAGAATGAAAACAAAATGCAAAATTGTTATTATAAATTTCAGTGTCAATGTGCTGACCAGCACATGTATACGGCAATTGCTTTTCCTATAGCAAGAGCCGTTACAAAAACAAAATGAGCTGTAAGAGCAATGGCGGGGTATCCCTATTTACAGTAGGTTATTGCTTGTTTATCTTTGTGACATTTGTTTTGGACATTTTCAAAGAGCGTGCCACAACTTTTTGAATTGCAGTGATATTACTATTTTTGTTGTATTTTGCCATCACCATTTTGGGAGCAAAACATTATGCCTGGAAATATAACAAAACATAGATGCCCAATTTAAGAATATACACATGCGGCATACATACATATTTATGTACGTATGTATGCGCGGGGAGATTTTTAAATGTCTGAGCGTGGCAGTGTTAGGCGTTAACGTGGGTGTCGCCTAAATGTTGTTGGCATATCTATAGAAATTTGCAAGACAATAACACGAAAAAAGAGTTCGTTTTTACTACCAAAGCCAATATGAAGGTGGCAATGGTAAAGGAAATTAACTATATACATATATTAAACAAGAAAACACCCAAAATCGGTTTTTTTTGGATTCCCACCCGCGTGGTAGATTTTATAATATACAAGGGCTTAATTGCAAAATATTATTATAAATTAAAAATCTATCTTCGATAATAATTTTAAGCTTTATAACCAAACTGTGCGAACGAATTTGTTCTTTTGAAATCGGTTGTTCCTTTATTGTTAAGTTGCAAGGTAGTATAGAAAAAAATTACTAAGTAACATCACATTTTATGGCGAAGAACTATGCAGTCAGATATGCCAACTGTGGCAAATAATTACGTTCGGCACATTGTATTTTCCCTGAGATTCAAAGAAAACACTTTGTATATAAAAATATCGAATTTTGCCATTTTTTCTTTACTTTTTATGTAAAAGAAAAATATTTTTGTCACATTTGCAAAACCTGTGAATGTGCGTTTTTGTCAATTATTTTAATGCTTTTCAAGTTTCGTAATAAACCGTCCAACATTTTCTAAATAAATAAGTTTTTAAAATGTATACCCATTTTTTGTTTAAATTGTTTAAAAATGTTATATAAACAACGATATGGAAAAAACAAAATTTTATATAATTTTTTAGTTTCGTTTACTATATATCGTCAAAAAATCTGCTATCAGAAAGTTTTTCAAATTTAAATTCTTTGTTTTTGTTTGATATCAGCTTAAAACAAAAAAAAACAAAAAAACTGAATAAAAACTTATATGATTTCACTAACCTTTGTTTAATGATTAAACAACATTCCGATATTTATTGTCACCAAAATGTACATACATATGTGCAAACATACATACGTATGTACATATGCAACCCGGCGTCGTTACATGTTTGCAAAACTTTTACACCGAAATGAACGCGCACTAATCAAAAAACCTCAGAAAGCAGATCATCAAGATCAAGTGCTTACCACCAAAAAAAAAAAATGTAACACGACGCGTGCATAGATCGCGCTTGCACTTATTTTCCCCGAAAAGAACCGAGAGCTGAGCGCGTATACATACATACATATGTACATATCTCCGCTCTTGTCAAGAACCGAAAAATAACTGAAAGCCGATCAGCTTTCTAAATTAATTTATACTATAAAACGAGACGACAACTAACAACTAAGTGTAACACGACGCGTGCATAGATCGCGCTTGCACTTATTTTCCCCGAAAAGAACCGATAGCAGAGCGCGCATACATAAATACATATGTACATATCTCCGCTCTAGTCAAGAACCGAAAAACAACTGAAAGCCGATCAGCTATGTAAATTAATTTATACTATAAAACGAGACGTCAACTATCTCTGCCACTGGCGACTTCGTCTCTCTCTCTCTCTCTGCAGCGGACATTCTACTCTTTCCTACAGCTGGTGCCCAAAAGCTGGTTATGGCAGAGAGAAATCACCAAACACAAATACATTAGCGAAACCGTTTTTTTTATTTTATACACTGAAACAAAAAAAGGACGATTGAAAATATTAGAATATGATAATAATAAAAAAAAAATTTACTTTTTTTTGCTTTTTACTGCTAATATCAAAATAGAAAAAACTAAGCAAAATTAAAAAAAAAAACATTTTATTTTATTATTTTCTTTGTAAATAGATAATAAATTATATATCTACATATATATATATTAATATTTGTTAAAAACATTTTAACATTTAATAATTTTGGTTTTCATTTGGTAATGAAAATGCAGTTTCACGAATATGCATACATACATATGAAAACGCTACCAAACAGCAGAACTTTTGAGCATCTCACAACTACATGCATTCATACATACATACATTGGCATTAGCGAACTAATGGTAAAGTCAATGAAGTGGTTGCTAATCTCAACGAAAATTTAGAGAATGAAAACAAATGCAAAATTGTTTTTGTAAATCGCCTTGTCGATGCGCAGAGCAGCACATGCGATTGCTTTTTCTATAGCAAGAGCAGTTAAAAAAACAAAATGAGCTCGAAGAGCAATGGCGTGGGTAGCCATGATTTACAGTAGGTTATTGCTTGTTTACCTTTGTGACATTTATTTCGCCGTTCTCAAAGAGCGTGTAACAAATTTTTTAAATGCACTGTTATTACTATTCGTTATTCGTTTTGCATTTTGCCATCATTATTTTGAGTTCAAAACGTTGAGCTTGGAAATATAACACGCAAAGTAAAACTCGAAAAATAGATGCGCAATTTAAGAACATATGCGGCATACTTACATGTATGTATGTGTATGTATATACATATGTAAGCGCGACAAGACTTAGAGGGTAAAATAACGCGATATTTTCACTTATGTACCTGTTTTTAAACAGAAAAGTTTTGTGTGGCGCTTAGGGGTCACAAAGGAGCGTAAGGTTTTAAGACACAAATTGCTGACATGCACACCTGTGTTTAGACTAGGCATGCATATTCTAGCCATTCTTACGCAGTGCAAGTTTGTTTCAGACGGTAGCTACGGTTACAAGCTGCCCTAAATTGCAACGCCCACATTTTTTTTTATTTATCAAAATTCGCTATCTAATGATGACAAATCGGCAAAAAACGGTGACTCCGAAACTTTTGAATTTGTTCTTATTTGTTTATTATATACATAATTTTTTTTTGCCAATCTCTATCGATATGCCAAAAAAAATGTTAAACTTTCTCATTTGCACTCCCACTACCCGTTACTCAGCTGGCAGAAGTGCAAATAAAATTGGGAAAAATATAATAAAATTTAAAAAAATGTTCA